AATATGCTTAACCTCACTCCAATGTTGTTTTGTAGGAGATGGACTAAATCTAGCCAGTAAATTTACTGGAAATGCAGTATCTAGTTTTGTGTTATTTTCTAGGTACATGAGTGCCCCTATTGCATTGAGATATGGTATTTCCGGACCAAGTATCCATTCATAATCTTCTTTAGGTCTAAATGGGTCCTTGTTAGGATCAAGTGATCTGACGATCATTAGAGTACTCAATGAATGTGCCTTATCCATATAAAATTGTTTCAACACCTTCTAGGTATAAGTGGTTTGGTAGATGAATATTTCATTATTCAAATATTCAATTTGCAGACCAAGGAAAAACTTTGTCTTTCCAAAGTCTTTGATCTCAAATTCCCTTTTCAGATATTCCACGGCTGATTTGAGCTCTTCAAAAGTTCCGATAATATTGAGATCATCAAAATATACTGCAATGATCACGAATTTTGACCTATTTTTCTTTATGAAAACACATGGACATATTAGGTCGTTAGTGTAACCTTCTTTGGTTAAACACTCAGTGAGGCGATTATACCACATGCGTCTAGACTGTTTAAGTCCATAAAAAGAATTTTGTACTTTTATGGAATAACATTCTTTGGGATTTGGTTTGCATGCTTCAGGTATGTCATATCCTTTAGTGATTTTCATGTAAATATCGTTCTCCAGTAAGCCATACAAGTAAGCAATGACTACATTCATAAGGTGCATATCAAGTTTTTCATGCACTGCTAGGCTTACGAGGTATCTAAATGTGATACCATCCATAACTAGGGAATATGTTTCATCATAATCAATCCCAAGTCTTTGTGAGAATCCTTAGGCTAAAAGTCTTGATTTGTATCGGACAATTTTATTGTCTTCATTTCTCTTTATAACAAATATTCATTTACACCCATCTTGCTTAACACCTTCTGGTATTTGAATTATAGGTCCAAAGATATTTTTCTTTGGCCAGCGAGTCTAATTCAGACTGGATCACATCTTTCTATTTTAGCGAATCTTTGTTTTTCCTACATTCATCAACTTATATTGGTTCGGGATCCTCGTCATTTTCTATTATATGAAGTGCCATGTTATATGCAAAAGCATTATCAATGATTGTTTCCTTTCGGTTCCACTTTTCTTTGTAGCGATGAACTTAATTGAATTCACAATAACTTCATTTTCTTGTGAGATAGGCACCTCAGGAGCATCCTCTTCAGGGATTGAATCATTAATCAATATCGTTTTCTTTCGGGGATTTTTATCCTTGGAACCTACAAGTCTGCTACGCTTCAAGCGCGTAGAGGATTCATTGGCACGTTTCATTTTTCATCCTGGGACATTTAATTTTGCAGGAGCATTTGCTGCAGGAATATATGCCATGGTGACTCTGCTGAATTCATTAAATACATCCAGTAATTTATTTGAAATTTGTTGCAATTGTACAATTCTTTGTACTTCTAATTTACACTGTTGAGAATGAGGATCCAGGAAATTGATAAGTATTTTCCAAGAAATTTCCTTTTTTTAGTTGATTATGTTCTTCCCCTAATGTCGGAAAATTTGTTTCGCCAAAATGAAAGTCTGCGAATTGCATAGTAAATAGATCATCCGTCAGTGGTTCGAGGTATTTAATTATCAATGGTGATTCTTACCTAACAAAATTCCCAAACGATAGTGGGGGCCCATTTTGTACGTTGAGATGGTGCAATCGGTATGTAAACTGCGCATCTAAAAACCCTCAAATGAGAAATATTGCTCTCTTTTCCAAACACTAATTGTGTTGGGGAGTATTTATGATAACTTGTCGGTCTAATTCACACAAGTTCTTCTGCATGTAATATTGCATGTCCCCAGGCAAAATCGGAAAGTTTGGATTTCATCAATAATGGTCTCGAATTAATTGTAGTTTTTTTTATAAAGGATTCTACCATGCCATTTTGGGTGTTAACATAAGGAATAAGATGTTTAATAGTTATTCCCAAAGTCATACAATAATCGTCAAATGCTTGTGATGAATATTCACTAGAATTATTGAGAAATTTTCTTTATTTGATAATCAGAAAATTATGCTCGCAATTTAATTATTCGTGCAAGTAACCTTGCAAATGCTATATTACGCGTAGATAGCAAGCATACGTGTGACCATCAAGTTGATGCATCAATTAGCACCATGTAACATTTAAATAGTCCACATGGTGGATCTATAGGTCCACATATATCACTCTGGATTCTTTCTAGAAATAATGGGGGATCAGTCCCAACTTTAGTTGGTGACGGCCTAATTATCAATTTTCCTTGTGAGCATGCAGCACACGCGAATTTATTTGAATTCAAGATCTTTTGATTGTTCGATCTCTCAATGAATGACCAATGGAGTTTTCGATTATTCGTCTCATTAAAATATTTTCAGGATGCCCTAGCCGATCGTTTCAAATCAAAATTCATTTAATTGCGTAGACTTCAGATTTACTGCACATGTTTCAACATCACTTCTTTTGGCGTAATACAAACAAAAAGGCAATTTCACAACTACACTTATTTCCATTGATGATATTTGTAATCACCAAAAATTTATTTTTTCCTTGTTCATTGTTTCAATATGATATACTTTTCTACGAATATCAGTGAAACTCAGCAGATTTCTTCGAGCTTTACTCAAGAATAGTGCATTTTGTATTTCAAGTCTGATTCCTTCAGGAAAACATATAAAGGCTCTTCTCGAGTCTTCAATTGTCGCACTACCACTTATTGTGCTGACTTTTGATTTTTCCAACTTCAGGTGGGAGAAATACCTTTTGTATTTCAATATCGTGTGCGTGGTCGCACTATCAATTAGGCAAATATTGTCCTCTTTATAATAAGTATTTTGACACATGAAATTCATATTCGTTTCAGAAGAAAACAAATAAAAAGACAATATATTAACATAGCCGATGGAATACAAAATGATACAAAAAAGGAAAATAATAAAAAGTAGAGGGGGTATAAAAAGTAATAAAACAATAAAATACATAATCATTTGGCACCTTGAGGGTGCTCAATGAAGTCTCTTGTATCAAGATGCATAAGATCGTTGTTTAGGACATCATCATATATGTCATCATTATTTTGTTCAACGATATTTACGTCATCAGATGTGTTCTTCAGGAAACCATCATATGTGTCATCATTTTTTTGTTCAACGATATTTACATCAGCAGAGGTGTTCTTTAGGACATCATCATATGTGTCATCATTTTTCTATTCAGAGATATTTACGTCAGCAGACGTACTTTTCCCTTTTAGCAATGCTTGGTACAAATCAGCCAAGTGCTTAGGCGTTCTGCAAACACGCGAACAATGTTCCTTTGTGCCGCACATGTGACACTTATCTTCATAATTTCTTTTATGCTCTTCATTTTACCACTTCAGGGGCTTGTATGGTTTTTTGGCATTATTTCTACAAGGCTGGGTACGGTGGCGTTTGTGGCCTCTGCCATATCTTCGGCCTTTGTTGTTTCCACGATCTGGATTTGAAGATTGTACCGCATTCGCTTCAGGAAACCATCATATGTGTCATCATTTTTTTGTTCAACGATATTTACATCAGCAGAGGTGTTCTTTAGGACATCATCATATGTGTCATCATTTTTCTATTCAGAGATATTTACGTCAGCAGACGTACTTTTCCCTTTTAGCAATGCTTGGTACAAATCAGCCAAGTGCTTAGGCGTTCTGCAAACACAAGAACAATGTTCCTTTGTGCCGCACATGTGACACTTATCTTCATAATTTCTTTTATGCTCTTCATTTTACCACTTCAGGGGCTTGTATGGTTTCTTGGCATTATTTCTACAAGGCTGGGTACGGTGGCGTTTGTGGCCTCTGCCATATCTTCGGCCTTTGTTGTTTCCACGATCTGGATTTGAAGATTGTACCGCATTCGCTTCAGGGAATAGGCTGGAACCTGTTGGCGTGGATGCATGATTTTTCAACAACAGTTGGTTGTTTTGTTCTACCAATAAAAGACAAACAATAAGATCTAAATATGTTTTGAAGCTTCCCTGTCGATACTATTGCTGTAAAAGCAGGTTTGAGGCATGGAATGTGGAGAATATTTTCTCCATCATATCAGTGTCATTAATATTCTCGCCGCATAGGTTCAACTGTGAACTAATCCTGAATATGACATAATTATATTGAGTGACTTATTTGAAGTCTTGCAACATCAAATTACGCCAATTGCTTTGGGCTTTTGGAAGTATATTTCTTTTAGTTTATTTCACAAGTCAAGGGATTCGTGACTATGATATATTCCATTTTCAACCCTTCATCGATATGATGTCGGAGAAATATCATTGTCTTTGTTCGGCTTTGATTGGTGACATTATTGCCTCTCACAATCGTTTCACCCAAGCTCATCGATTGTAAATGCATTTCAATATCCATAGCCCAAGATAGATAATTTTTGCTAGAAATGACAAGTAGGACAAATTTTTATTTTGCAATTTTAGTACTCATAATAATATTAGATATTAATATTAATATTATAGGAATAATAAAATAAGAATATTGATTATCCTACCGTAAATCACTAATTTGTATAAATATTAATATAATATAATTAATGTATATATACGTATATGTAGTAGAAATAAACAATATTATATATATGTAATATATATGTATATATATTTATATGTATGTATATAAGATGGTAACGATGAATTGATGTTTGAGAAGTGAAGTGACGAGAGAGAAAGAAAATATGCAAAGAAAGTTGAATATGTTTTATTTTGACAACAACAAATATATATATAGCAATTACACCTCTTATATAGACCAATGAAATTGTAGTACAGGTTGCATTCGCATAGCATGTATTATTGTCCACGTGCACATCGTATAACAAAAATAATTTTTTCGTAACAACCTAAACATATATTTTACATTAAAAAATAAATAAATTAAATCACAATATTTCAATCCATTTTACCTTCAAAATATACCGCTCGCTTGCCACTCAACCCCCTTGCCCTTCACCCTGCGGTCCCTACTCCTACCGGAGTTGTATTCCACCAGCCACCCCGCGCTGCTGCCGTTTTCACCTTCTAACGACCAGCTTCTTCACCCGACGACCACCATCGACCCAGCCTCCCCCGTCGCCACCCACAGCCGCGAACCGCCGACTTCTTGTCTGCGGCGCCTGCCGCTGGTTTCAACCGTTGTCCACCGCGCCGGCCCGCTCCCCTCCCTTCTCCTTCTCACGGTGATTTCACCTCCTCCATTCAGTTCTGGGAATGGCGCTGCACAAATCCACAGCCGGCTTCGATTGTTGGTGAAATGTGAACACAAGAATTCCGAGCTCGAAGCGATCAGAAATCATTGAAGACAACAACATGAGAATATCAAAATTTTTAAGTTATTTGGTAAGAAAATATTCCGCATTTTCAAAATTTTAAATATGCTTGTATGAATTTCATGAATTAAGACATATCTTGTTCGATCCAAGTTTATTTTAGTTATTGATATATATGGTTAATTCATTCGAGCAGATAGAATTGGATGCTATTTTAATTTCAATCATTCATATTGTTTGAATATTTGCAGAAAATAGAAATGTATATTAACCTAAAAGGAGAGTGCTTAAATATAGGCATATATATATGTGGGCCTAAAAAAACATATATAAAAATATGCTAACACATATTTTTGTGGATTTTGAAGTCTACGGTTTAAATGTGAAACAGAATGTGTTGTACTTGAGGAATAATGGTTTGGAGGTTGTTAGTAAACTTGGTGAAATAAAGAGAATTTTTGGGTTGGAAGATTGAAAATTCAGTACCATGTTAATGTAGCTTTAATTTGTTTCATAATTCGTATTTCTTGTCAAATTGTGTGATGTATACCTTTTAAGTATGCTTGAATTCACTTGATCCTTGCTGGTGTGAAATGTTTGTAATAATTGTTGTTTGCATTAAAAGTTTATGGTTTCGCTTTCGTACAGCTGTTAATAATTGTGGATTTGTGATAAATTTTAGGAAGTTACATCATGAAGAGTAATGAGCTACTGGATACTTTGGCCCTAGAATTTGTTTCTTGTTCTTCCACTTTTAGTATATGTTTCGGTTTATTAGATGTTCTTTCTGTTTATTCTATTTTATCTTTTTTATGGATGATTGTATATCTTTATGTAAACTAAATTTTTCTAATGCTTTTGATTGGTGATGAAACAATATAGAAATTCCAATTCTAGAAGAAGATTATCATTTCATACTTAATGTAATTGTTTACACTTTACAAGAATAGAGAATTTTTCGTATATGAATTTATGAGACAAAATCAAGCACTGTTAGGCCAGATTTTTCTATGTCAATCGTGTTTCAAATCTGAAAATAAGTTAATGTTGACATAACTACTTTGTAAAGTCATATTATGAATTTTTATTTTCGGTAAATTACTCTAGAAGGGAGAAGGCGAAACTAACTAAAAGTTGTAAGTTTGTATGCCTGGTATGTTGCATGTATTCTTTCTTCTGATAAGTGGTTATTCTAATGCATGTCTAATATTGTAATCATGACTTCGCGATCGAAACCTGTTTGAGTATTCTAAACGGAAGCAGTTGTGTAACTGTGATGACTAACAACACTGATTTTTTTTTTTGGGAACATAACAAACTATTATAAGCTTTATAATTCATTTCAGGCTTCCCTTACGTTCAGTCAAGCTAACTCCACCATCAGTAAGTTTGGCTTTTTTCTCTTTTTGTGCTAGCAGGTTGTATTTCCATTTTCTTATGTCATGGTACTATTTTGCAAGAGACAATGTCCAATGAACATGCAATGTTAAGATGGACAAAATGGCTTTCAGTCACTCCTTCAAACTGTCTCTGAATTACTAGAAATTTGATTACAAGTTCGAAGCTGCCAAAGAAGAATCCAATGAACAATTGGCAACACATAATGGAAAAGCTGCAATTATGAATGTAGATAACACTTACATGAATGTTAGTACATATTAATGTGCATAGAGTTGTGGTGGTGGTTGTTTTTAGGTTCAGTTTTTATATTCTTGATTTCTTAGAGGACAATTTGTTGTGCTGTTTTAGCATAACTCAATTCTTTCAGTTAGTTTCCTGTCTTTATATTAAAGGATTCCTCCAAGTCACCATCTCCTGAGGATTTAGTTCTTTATATCCTCCAAGCCAGGATCTTCTGAGTATGAGTCCCATATCATTTTTAGGGATTTGAGAAGACCAACACTTCAAATTAGTTGACTGTCTTCCAAGTCGTAGTTGGTATGCTTTAAAGTACTGTTTATTGGCACGTCTATGAACATCGCTGAATTTACATTAGTTTGTTTGGATTTGTCATACTAAAGTTATGGTTTTAATTATTTGTCACACAGTTGGATCTGTAGCACATACCAAATCAATCCTCCTCCTCACAACCCGAGTTAACTATAGCTCATCATGTCGACTGTGAGCGAGAGTTCTGCTGCTGCTGCACACGGTCGGGCCCGGGGCCCAGTGGCGGTGTATGTCGACACGCCTTATGACGCCCCTATACCCGCAGGTGCCGAGGGGTGCATTCTCGCGACCCGCATACCTGAGGTCCAGGACCTCCCGACCTACAACCTGCTCAATGGGGACACCGCGACCATCGTCCCATATCTGCAGAGGTCAACTGTGCCGGTGCATTACAGGTGGGTGCCGGTCGCAAATTTGCCATGTGAACATGCCATCAAGCACATGGACGCCTACATCAAGAGCCACCTGTTCCGCATCGCGCTCAACGCCCCGCCAGCATGGGCGACGAGGCCATCAGGACGGCAGGATTCTTGCTTGGTGCGACTCAGGCCGTCCTCACGGCCAACTTTGACGTGAGGCCGTCGAACTTCATCACTGCAGAGGTGGTTCCCGCTGTCCTCGAGATCGAATGGACTCAGAGGGTAGGCCTTGCCAGAAGCTCATAGGGAAGGCTGCTGCAGAGGGCAGGCCCACTGTCAAGGCGCTCCACTGGCTGACCACGCCCTTGATGCTCACTGACCTTGAGAAAGCCCTTCTCAAGTGTATTGTGAGGTCGGCACAGGCCATCCTCCCTCTACAGGGGTACTCCCTGATAACCGGGCACCACTACCTCTTGGACAGAGGAAAACAGAGCTTTAAGGTGTTTCTGCCGGTCGAGAAGCAGGTGTGGCGCACACAGGACGTCAAGGATTGGTGGACCGAACACGTGGACATTGCAAGGGATTTGCTCTGGCACAAGGCTGGCCATCCAGTGGCCAACATTGTGAAAGAGGAGGCAGCAGAGATCGAAGCTGGTGAAGGCCAACTTGTTGAGGGCCCAGCTGGGGTCTGTGGCAGCGCGGCTGCCTGCGATGGAGCCGAGTGCTAAAGCCGCGCAGGCCTACCTGGCGGTTCTGGACAGGATTAAGACAGCATACGAGATGTACGGCGGTAAGGTGGAGTATTCTGTGCTCCAGAACGCATATGCGGCCTTGGAGCAGTTCAACAGTGCAGGCAGAGGGGCTGTGTCTGATGTGGCGATCGAATCGAAGGTGGACGGGAGAGTCGTGCTGCGGAGCCGCGCCGAGGCGTTGGAGTACATGGTGCGGGTGGTCAAGCGATCTGCGTCCATTGTTGCAGTCGCTTATGGCTTCTTCGTCAGGCAGCATGAGGCTGTGACCGTGTCTGGGGGGCAGAGTGGCGGGGAGTCCCTTCTTTATTCGCACTCCCTCAGCAAGCTGAAGAATGACTTCTTCCCGTCTTATGCGATGGGCCGCGACTTCTATGATGATTACAAGGCTGCGATGGCGAAGGCTAGAGCTGAGGGAAAGTAGAGGTTCTAGAAGCTCAGGATCAAGTGAAGTACTGGTGGGGTGAGCTGGGGGTTTGTGTCTTGTCTTTGCTTTGCCCTTCGGGCTTTCTTTTGGGTTAGCAGCGTCTGCTGACTCATTTGCCAGTCTGCTACTGTCACTTTTGTACAGTAGACTTTGTTACCGATATATTTCGTCACAAAAAGTTTGATGACATAATTATTTTTGTGCTGAATTTTTTGTTATGGACAAATTTCATTGCCAAAACATGATCGTGCCATTGTTCGTATTCAAGAAAATGTAACAAATATAATTAATACATGCAAATTAAGCTCGTTGATCGGCACTTATTTGTTACGGGTTTCGCTGTAACGATTTTCTGTTATTCGACTTTTCGTAGCGGTCAAATGATACAGAAAAACTATTTTTCACAAAAATTAGGTTTTTTTTTATGTATTTTTTACAGGTACAAAAAGTCAATATTTTGGTAGTGTGTTCCTACCATAGTTTTTTTTATTTTAGTTGTATATCTTCATGTATGGTTTTAATACAAATTTTTTCAATGTATTGTATATGAGTTGTTCGGAAGAGATAATTAGATTTGTGGTATTGGTTGGTCTTCCGTTTGATGTAATAATTTTTTTTGAAGCGTTTAGATTTAGGCTTGTTTAATTTGGTTAGGATCGCGAGGTGTGAGTTTCTGTTCAACAAGGCATCAGTGATGCAGTTTTTTACTGTGTTGGTTGTGCATTGAGTTTCATTTTGTGCTTGAAATGTGCATTGAGTTTGTATTCTACCTTCAGAGCATCTGGTAACATTTATTAATTGTAGTTGGTTCCAAGAGAATGCACTAGAATTAGTACATTACAAAAATAAATAAATAAACAAAGAAATATCTAACCTATGGTTTTCATTAGGTTTGAGCTTGAGAATCAATTTCTAGTCGAGTCATAATATTCAAATTGAAATTTTTTTTGAAGACACTGACCTTGTTTGGCTCTTGAACAGGTTCTAGAATGTTCAATGAGATTTATCATAACTTATTAAGGCAGACAGTGTCAGTTTTATATTTAACGTATAGTTCAATAAATGTCAAAACGAAGCTACGACGGTCATTAGATGTATATTTTTTCATGAAATTTGGGTCGGTTTCATGAATGTTTAGTGGAATTTATTGGCATTGGTTAGGGCTAATACAATTACTATTGTTGGTCGCATAGTAATATAAAACCAAAAATAAGGGAAAACTGCAAATTATATTCGTTAAGCACAAAAACTGCTTGTGGGGCAAACAACATAAACTGTTGTGTAAAGCGCACACTTTCAAAGATATAAAGAAAATGTACTACCACAAAACAAAAACATATTAAATACAATAGATAAAAATTAAAGCAAATTACAAAGCAACAATAACAATCCATTTACCAAGTGTACATGTTAGATTATGATGTCCTTATAAAAAAAAAAAAATCAGGTAAGGTTACATGGAGATATGTAAAACTTTGGATTTATAGGAACTCTACAATTTTCCAACCTGAATTACCACACATCATCTCATACCTTCCACTAGCCCTGCCTTCGGCACAAAAGACTATTTTTCACGAAAATTGGACTTTTGTTACGAACTTTTTACGACTACAAAAAGTCAATATTATGGTAGTGTGTTCCTACCATAAGTAGATTTGTGGTATTGGTTGGTCTTCCGTCTGATATCATATTTTTTTTTAGGCATTCAGATTTAGGCTTGTTTAATTTGTTAGGATCGTGACTCTATTTGAGGTGTGAGTTTTTGGTTGAACAAGGCACCACTGATGCACTTTTTGACTCCGTTGGTTGTGCATAGAGTATGCATTTTGTGCTTGGAATGCGCATTGAGTTTGTATTCTCCCTTCAGAGCATCCGGTGGCATTTATTAATTGTAGTTGGTTCCAACGAATGCACTAGAATTAGTACATTGCAAAAATAAATAAATAAATAAATATCCAACCCATGGTTTTCATTAGGTTTGAGTGTTGAGAATCAATTTCTAGTCGAGTCATGATATTCAAATTGAAAAATAATTTTGCCATTGGGAACATCGACCTTGTTTGGCGATGAACATGTTCTAGAATGTTCAATGAGATTTAACATAGCTTATGGCAGATACCGTTAGTTTTATATGTCACATATAGTCAATAAATGTCAAAACAAAGCTACGACGGTCATTAGATGTTACATTTTTTCATGAAACTTGGGTCGGTATAAAGAATGTTTAGTGGAATTTAGTTTTATTGGTTAGGGATAATACAATTACTATTGTTAGTCGCATAGTAATATAATACCAAAAATAAAGGCAAAATTGCAATTTATATTCTAGAAGCACAAAAACTGTTTGTGGTGCAAACAACACAAACTGTTGTGTAAAGCGCACACTCCTCTCAAGATATAAAGAAAATGTACTGCCACAAAACAAAAAATATATTAAATACAACATATAAAAATGAAAGCAAATTACAAAGGTAACAATAACAATCCATTACCAGGGTACATGTTGGATTATGATGTCCTTATAGAAAGAAAATCAAGTAAGGTTACATAGAGCTATGTAAAACTTTCGATTTATAAGAACTCCACAATTTTCCAACCTGAATTACCACACATCATCTCATACGTGCCATAACATGTTTGTTCTCTCAAGTCATATCATAGCTATGTTGTGTACTGGTCCCCTATATGCAAGTGAAATGCAAAAATATTTTAAGGAAGAAGAAAGAAGCCAAAGCAATAATTAATTTTAGGTTTTGTTGGATGAAAATTATGTAAATAGACAAGAAAAGAGAATGATAAATGTCAAGCAATTGCAATATACAACATATGTTATATAATAAATATAAGTTGGTAAGTATTAATATGTATAGATATAGGGATGTGAGTATAATATATTATATTATATGTTAGTGGATACATATATATAATATATATGTATATATGTGAATGTATGAATTGAATGATAGATTGATTGAGAGATTGTGAGATTGGATAGTGGGAAGATGTGATCATGAATGAATTTATATATTTAGTTCGTACATATTTATAGGCATAAAAAAATTCAAGTAGTGGCATCTAAGAAGCCACGTAGCATCCATCGAACACATACACCATACTTACGTATATATTACGTGGTGTATAACACTCCCCCTTGGATGCTTTTATACAAAGAATGTGCCTCGTTAAAACCTTATTATGAAAAAACCCTGTGGGAAAAAATCATAGTGAAGGAAAAAGAGTACATCATTCTTGTATTAATACGCTTCCCTTGTTTTGGACTTTATTTGATATCTTTCAGCCGACGCATTCCAATTCCTTGTGTCAATTTGTTGAATGTTGTAGTCGGTAGCGCCTTCGTGAATAAATTTGCGAAGTTTTCAGATGATCGAATTTGTTGCACATTAATTTTACCACTTTTCTAAGATCGTGAGTGAAAAAGAATTTTGGAGATATGTGATTTGTCCGATCGCCTTTAATATATCCTCTTTTTAATTGAGTTATACAAGCTGTATTATCTTCAAATAATATTGTATGAAGTAATTTATCATCAGTGATCAAGCCACAATTTTCCTAATATGGTGAGTCATAGACCTCAACCAAACACATTTACGACTGGCTTCGTGAATTGCTAAAACCTCAGTATGGTTTGAAGAAGTAGTTGTTATTGTATGTTTAGCAGATTTCCAAGAAATTGTGGTTCCACTAGAAGTAAAAAAATAGTCAGTTTCAGGTTTTGCTTTGTGTGGATCAAACACATAATCAGCGTCAGCATAACACATTAATTCATTTCAAGATTCACTTGAATAAAATAAACCGAGGTCATGAGTCCCCTCAAGATAAAAAAAAAAGTGCTTGATACAATTCTAGTGGCACTTTATGGGGGATGTGCTAAACCTGGCTAGTAGATTTACTGAAAAAAATATATCTGGTCTGGTACAATTTGCAAGGTACATTAATGCGCCAATAGCGCTGAGATATGGTACCTCGTGGCCAACTATTTCTTCATTTTTTTCTCTTGGCCTAAATGGATCTTTACTGAGATCAAGGGATCTGACCACTATTGGTGTACTCAGAGAGTGAGATTTATCCATATAAATTTGATTTAATACCTTATGGGTATATGTGGATTGATGGATAAATATATTATGTTATTCACATGATCCAGTTGTAATCCCAGATAATATTTTGTCTTTCCAAAATATTTGATCTCAAATTCTTTCTTTAGATATTTAACTGCAGTTTGGATCTCTTTAGGAGTTCCAATTAATTGAGATCATCAACATATATAACAATAATGACAAAATTTGATCCATTTTTCTTGATAAAGACGCATGGGCATATTGGATCATTAGTATAACATTCTTTTATTTAACAATCACTGAGACGGTTATACCACATTCGCCCTGATTGTTTAAGTCCATACAATGACTTTTTCAATTTGATGGAATATGATTTCTTTGGGTTTAATTTGTATGCTTCAGGCATATTGAATCCTTTAGGAACTTTCATACAAATATCAGTATCCAATGAGCCATAAAGATATGTAATAACTACGTCTAAAAGACGCATATCGAGCTTT